AAAAAAACAAATTCCAAAAAAAAAAGCTAATAATTTAAGCAATGTCAGTTATTTTTCTTTTAGGTAAAACAAAAAATTTTATATTTGAATTGTATAACATATAAATGAAATAAAATAAAAAATTTTAAAAATTATTATTTATTATACGATTTAAAACAAAAAAATAAAATAAGATTCATATTTGTTGTACCATTTTATTACTAAAACTGCATTAGATATATACCAAGAATTTTACCCGAACTTTCTTGTTACTCATGACGAAGCCGGGGTTGGTTTTGCATTGAGTCAAGTTGTTGATGGTACATGCTGATAAATTGCGCAGCAAGTCGCTTGCATTTTTTTCCCCTAGGAAATAAATGCCACATTAGACCATGATTTAAATGAATTAGCTACTGAAAGTTTCACGGAAAGTGAAATTGAAGAATTGCTATCCACTAATTTTTCTACTTTTAATAACTACAACAGCGACAGTGCCTCCATATCAAAAACATGGGGGACTCAAGGAAAATGCTAGTGCCTAAGGGGACCGGCCTCTAGCAGGCCGTCCAGAAGGCCGACTTGACGTGACACATAGTACGTTTGGTAAAATTTTCTTTTTTTCCATGGGGTAAATTTGTTATTTAATTAGCTCCAACTTTTAATAATTTAAATTTATTTTTGTTTTCTTAACTTTTTTTTCCTTTTTACTTAAATTAACGTTATTAGGGTACAAAATTTTTAGAGTTTTGTGTTTACAGTGTTAAAGTTTAGTATTTAAGATTTTTTTAATTTAGTATTTAAGGTGTTAGGATTTAAATTTTTTAAGTTTTGTATTTTATAATATTAAAATTTAAATTATTTGAGTTTTATATTTGATAATATTAGAGTTTATATATTTTTTTTAAATTTAGTGTTTAATTTGCTAGGATTTATATTTTTAAGATTTAGAATTTAATATTTAAAAGTTAGATATTTAATAATTTAAAAATAAAAATTATAAGACCAAAAAGTGAAATTTTAAATTTTAAATTAAGAAAGAAAAAATGAAAAAACTATAGAGACCAATCGGATTGGGACCGATCGGTCCCTCTAGCATTACCCAGGATTCATTTAAAAGAAAAGAAAAGAAAAATTCTCAGAAAAAAAAAAAAAAAAAAAGGAAAAAATGGTGGTTGTATCCATATTAGATGTGTGCACGGTATATTAGCGTTGAATACTTGAATTAAATACAATGAATGGATGTCGGAATTCGTCCATCCGTGATGCATAATATGACTCTGAAACTGACTAAAGTTTTAATTAAAAATAATCGCCGGTGGTCCATGGTTTAGAACCACTATAATAAAATAACGATTGCATAAATATATATATATATAATTTACTAATAGTTAAGTACTCTGCACTTGAGTTTTTAGATTCAGTGACGTCAGATTATGTATAAATGCATTCTTTCGTTTTAAGACAACGGTTTGAATATGATTCCTTACGAATTTATTTTAAAAAAATAGTTAAGTACTCTAGTTGTTGAGCAATTTGTTCATATATATATATATATAGGAAAAAAATATTTTACATGTTCAATTACACTTTAAAAGTGTAATTTATTTTTTTTTTTTGGACAGCAATAAATAATTTATTAGGGAGTAGTATAAGAAATATTCTAACTTATCTACATTGATTACATGTAAAGGAGATTTTCAACATAAAATTAAAAGTGTAATTTAATTTATAAATTTTTTAAAATATTTTTAATAAAATTATTTTTTATATTATTTATTAAAAATATTTTAATAATTTTATAAATCAAATTAACTATACTTTTAATATATAATTTGATACATAAAATATGAATCCCATATATATTATACCTTAAGCAAGTAAAATTAAGTTAAACAACGCTTAAACGCAACGAATAATGAAGTTTCTTGTCACTACTACCAGTCTCCAATCTGGGGTTTTACTAAGGAATAAATTAATGTGGTTCATGTTAATTAATTTAACAATACGTATGTTCAATCGTTTCCATGTAGACATGACTTGAGAGTAATCGGCAAAGGAAGTGATAATTGCACGAAACAAGTTAATTAAGAAAGATTATTAATTATATTAGAAAGAAGCCATAGAAATTAAAGGGTATTTTGTGTTTTTTTTAATCACTTCAGACGACACGAGGGTGTTTTTGAAAAAACTTAAGAGATCGCGTATGTGTGTATATATATAATTTTAAATTATATTATAAAAAATAATTTTTTATTTTTTAAAAAAATTATTATTAAATTATTTAACTAATTGATAAAACTTAGGAGATCATTGTGAAAATTAGGAAAGTGGTTTCGTATAAATGTTTTTAATTTGTTAAGTTTTTTTTATTTGTAGTTTGAATGTTTTCAAATTAATTTTTATATATTTTAAAATTAATTATTTTTTAAATAATTTTAAAAAATACCCTCATATTGATTTGATATATTTAAAGGAATTAATTTTTTAAAAGTATTAATCCAAAATTTTGAACTATAAACTTAAAATATAAAATAATATTTATTTATTAATAAATTCATTCTTAAAAATTTTAATTTATTGAGTTTAACGTAAAGTTGACTGGAGTCTGTACCTGGGTGCTTTCTGATTTTAGTTGATGATCTTTTGTTAAACAACCACATGCTTCTCGTAGTTAAATTCCAATGGCAAACACGGCTTCCCAAACTTTTTTTTTTTTTTTGGCCAAACACGGCTTCCTCCTTCAAAGGCAGTGGTTTTTATTGGTTTTTTCCAAGGAGGAGAAGTTGAAATTGAAAAGTACTTTTGGTTTTCCCTCAATTCCTGTTAACCCATGAAGCATGCTTACACCGTTCCAAACGTCACCAAACCTATCCTCACATATTTACCGCACTCAATGTTCGCATGCTCACGTACTCACTGAATCCCAAACATATGAACCAATATCAAACCTCCACCTAACTGTCGAAAACCGATTATCCACGTGGCAATATTTCACTGGGTATGTGTCGTTTGACCAGTCGCCCTGTTGTGCTGAGAAAGTGAGAATTTTCTAGAGGACTTGAATATATTATAAGAGCGAATAGTCTTTTCCCTGACATCATCCACTCTATCATGATGACCTGTTTGCACATGTCGGCTGACGCGGCCTCTCAGCACCAGATACGAGCACGAATCAATTTTAATCCCAACAATGCCCCTCACTCTTTCGCCGCCTTGTCGTATAAGAGTATGGAAGGGCCCAACCAATATCATTCCTTTAGGTCAACAATAAAAGGCGAAGCCAAGCCCCAGACACGAAACCAACCTATAAATACACCCCAACACGACTGGCATTCAGATCGACTCCCAACTTTTACTTCTCTCCCCTCCCAACAAACGCAAGGAAAGAACCTTAACCCCTTTCATATTACACAAAGACTTTCATTTTAGACAAAGAAATGAAGAGAGGTTTTGCAGAAGGAGATGTTGAAACGAATCTTGCTTTGGCAAATTGTTTGATGATGTTATCTCAGGGAGGATCTGGCCCGTACGAGGCCGACATGAATGGTAGCGGTCGCCTTTTCGAGTGCAAAACCTGCAACAGGCAGTTCACGTCCTTTCAGGCCCTGGGCGGGCACAGGGCGAGCCACAAGAAGCCAAGGTTAACTGAAGGAGATGGTGGAGTGGAGAATCAGACGGCAGCAAAGCCCAAGACGCACGAGTGCTCGATATGCGGGCTCGAGTTCGCGATCGGGCAAGCGCTTGGCGGTCACATGAGAAGGCACAGGGCTGGATTGAGCGAAAACCAAGCCCTTCCTAAGGAACAGCAACAGGTTTTGGCACCTATCGTGAAGAAATCGAATAGCAGCAGGGTTGTTTTGTGTTTGGATTTGAACTTGACTCCCTTAGAGAATGATTTGCAGTTCTTGAAGCTTGGAATTGGAAAGCCTGCTATAGATTGTTTATTGTAAATTTTTATTTTTACCTCGTAAAAGTTTTTCTTTCTTTCCTTACTATTATTTATTACTTAATTAATTTCTTTTGAGAACGTTTGGAGTGACGTTTAGCCATTTCTTACACATGGGTAGAGTCGTAGAGATCAATTTGTGCATTAAAACCATTGATAGAAAGATGGAAAGTATGATGAGGAAGTCACGCGCTATAGGCAGCTCTATGGAAAGGAGAAAATCAATCCCTCTCTGTAATAAATAAATTACTTCCACGCGAAGCAACTCATGCTATAAAGTGTTGTTCAAAGAAAAAAACTCATACTATAAAGTGAAGGACTAAGGTTAATTATTATTATTATTATTTTGTGTGCGTGTGAAAAGAATAGCTTAGATTCGTTAATTAAATTTTAAAAATCCTTAACTAAGATGGACTAGTGAAAGCTCCATGATATATGCGGGTCAGTTATGGGCTTTAGTTGTTGGCCAAATGAGTTATGGGCTTCGGTTTTGAAAAAGTGAGGCCCATAGGTTCCAACCTAAAACTGGCACGTGTCCATTCCTAATCTGGCCTTGGATCGGACTATACTCTAAAGCTTTTGCACTTTTTGCGGGGTTTTGTCAAGGAGGCCCATGATCATCTGTGCCAGGCTGCCAGCCCAAAAACTGCTCATATGTCCGTGGGGAAGCATTTTCGGGGATAAATAAGTTATGAGTTATATTTGATACTTGATTTAAAATTTTTTAAGTATAATTTTTTATAGTTGGTATTTATCTAAATACTTGAAGAGTTATACTTGGTATCTAACTTAACAAATATTAGGTGAGTTACAAGTATATATTTATGTATTTGACTTAAAGAAATAAGAGATCTTATACCAATTGTAATTGTTACCGTGTATTATTTGTTTGAATTAAGATTTGTTATTTATATGAGTTATTATTATTATATATGTGATTTTTTTGGTTTATAGACTTTACTTTGTTTTTATTTTTATTTTTGTCTTTATTTATTAATATTTTCAAAAA